TCCCGCGTTGCTTACGGGGGGGCTGTGCGTCCCGTGAGGGGGGGATCCGCGCCTCGGCCCTCGGAGCGCTGCCCCAGCCGCCTACATCCACTGCTTGCCTCGTGAGCCGTCAGGGCGTGAAATTTTGAGTCGTCCTCGTGGTGTCTGGGCTCCTCGGGTTCGGGCAGGCGGCGTTACAGGGGAAAGTTCAGGCGTGGCGGGCCTGCCAAAGCTGGGGAGCCCGGAAAAAGTGTTGAAAAGCGCAGGAAAACGGGCAAACGGGGCACTGAGCTGCGATTATAAAGCACCTGCTGACCTGCGCGAATGTTTTCAGTGTGTGGTGATGTTTCATTGTTTTCTTGATCTGTTTCGCGTTCACGGAAGATATTTTCTCTCTAGGACATCCTGGAAGGATGCATGTCTCCTCTTGTACTCTCCGCTTACTCTGGCTGGGTGCTGGACACAGTGGTTGGGCAGTGGGCCCCAGAAACAGCACCCTCCAGAAGCTTGACACCTGAAGAGTCTGCTCCCCTCGCAAACCGGTCATCTTCTCTGGAGAAGGTCCCGCCTGCTAGCTGCCAGGGCTCTTCACCTCTGTCATCTACAGAGCCAAGTGAAACAAAGGTAGCTCTCTGGTTAGAACCCCTGTGTGAGCAGCTGCGAGAAAAAATGTGCTAACTTGCTGCCGTAAATTGTCTGATAAAGGTTGGTTTGTGGTCTGTTCATTTGTGGAGAAGAGTGTGCTTGGTTTTAACTTTTTGCAGGATAAACAGGTGATGATAAAGATAATATTAACAAGATTTTTGTAGAACAATTTTTCATAGCAGGCCAAAAGTAAACTCCCTTTTTTCACCATAACTAAGGAAAATCTAGTTGGAGCTGTAAGGGCGTACGGATTAGTAGCGCGGGATTCATCCATTTGGAGAGATAAGGTCCCAGAGTAGGGTGAGGCCTGTGGTAAGAGCCCGTGAGTACCCTGTTGGGTTCTCTGGAGCCTTTGAATGACTGGGATGTGTTGTGGCTCTCTTTTACAAGGCAAAAGGGTAGGAAGCTGAGCAGTGAGCAGTTAAATTGTGGAGGTAGTGAAGTTGGTGAAGCACCTGAAAACAAGTGTCCGTTGCTGTGCATTAAATGATGACTTCACCACATAACAGTGATACTGAGCAGCAAAGTTTTGCATCATCTTGACCCCATTTAGGCTTAAGAAATATATTGTGAAGAAAACACCTTAATGAAGCAACAAGATCTGATAAAAGTTACAAGAGTGTCTGAAGACTCCTCCTGAAGAATGATTCAAAGTATAAACCTGTCTTAACTTCCAGTGTAACATCTTCATTGCATGTAAAGAGAATGTGGGGACTCTGTCTAGCCTTTCTAGGTGACATGACAGCCTTTGTGAACATCCTATAGGCTTTTGGTGTCTCTGCTCCCAGTTTTAGTGACTGGGAAAAGTAATTATCCCAACCTTGTATAGGTGCTGAGGATACTCAAAATGGTGAGGCTGCACTACTGGAGTATATAACTACTCTGAAAAGTTGTGCATTGCTTGACTCCTTTGTCTCTTTCACTGCAAATAATGTGTGGTTTAGGAGACCTGATTTACCTCATTTCCTCTATGAGTTGCTGATACTGTATTCAGTCACTAATTTTGCTTATGTGCTGCCCACACAGGGAAATGAAGATCTTAGTCTGCTGGAAATGGATCAAGAAGTCTTTCCAGCAGTTCTGCCATCTAAAGTTACAGAAGTTGAAGGCTGCATTCGGATGTATGAAGAGATGCACAGGCTGAAAGGAAAGGTAAAAAAAAAAGATGTTGCGGTCTTCTGTCCAAATTTGGGTGATTACTACATCATTGTGTTTCTGACACCTCTGCAATCTGCAGGAGGGGCTAAGGCAACGGCAGGAGCAGCAAGAACAGATGGTGAGGGCAGTGTACGACCTGGCAAGTGAACAACTGAAGCGCTTTGATGAACTGAAGGAGCTAAAGCAGCATCAGGAGTTCCAAGATTTGCGAGAAGTAATGGAGAAGAGGTAAGACTACCTCAGATTTTTGGTATCCAAAAAATATTATAGCATTTAATCAAAATGAGGGTTAATTCTTGTGCCTGACAAGCTCACCTGCTGTCTTTCTTACTTTAACTATCCTGTTACTGTTTGTCTTTGAGTAGAGCTCTGGCTACTGTTGAGGTTTCAATGGTTAGAAAAAGTCTGTATTTGTGACAGTTAAAGCTCCTTTAGCTTAGCTTATTTTAGAAGTAATTTGCTGTGTGTGTATTTTGTCTTGCGCATGTCTTGAATACACATTTTCTGTTTTATGTGTGTTGTAGCTCAAAGGAGGCTCAGGGACAGCAGGAGAAGCTGAAGGAAGAACACCGACACAGAGCAAAGGTCTGAGACTTGTAAAAGTTCTCTTTCATAAAAGGCCATGACTGCTCGGTGGGAACTGGAAAGCTCATTGGATTTGTTTATATTTACATGGCACCCCTGGAGTGCAAATATATTTTCTGGTGCTGTCCTAGACACCTGCTGCATTGTTGTGGAAATGCAGTAAAGGCATATGTGTTGTAGGAGCAGGAAAGACTTGTAGCGCTGGAGGTATTTAAGTATTTTGTCTCTCTTTGTGTCTTTCTCTCCCCAGGTATTAAACCTAAAACTGCGTGAGGCAGAGCAGCAACGTCAGCGTCAGGAAGAGCTGGAGCGTTTGCGTAAGGAAGAGGGCCAGGAAAGATTGCGTCGCCTTTATTCCATCCAGGAGGAAGTGCTGCAGCTGAACCAGCAGATTGATCCCAATTACAGACACAAAGATTTGCCAAGAATCGATCTTTCTACATACAGTAATCGTGGCAACCAGATCTGTGGGCTGGTGTCAGGACTCATCCGCACCACAAGTGAGGTAGAGACTCTAGAGCTGTTCTTAGCTTTGGCTGTCATTCCTTCATAAAGCTTCCTGTAGCTGTCTTCAAAGCCAGCTTGTTATGAGGCCATTAAATAAGATGTCACAGAAATGTTTTTAGATCTTCATTGTATAAACCATCTAATTTAAAAGGAGATTTCTTTTCCATGGCACTCTAGCTGTTCTCTTGAAAATGGCTTATAAAAATGCGTGAGGATTTCTACAGAAGAAAGATGAATATTTAAAATACTGTAAACTTTTTATTCTGTCAGACAACCATGGAAGTGGAGTGGTTCAGAAATTTTAAAATACTGAACACATTATGGTTCTTCTATGCCCAGAAGCCTTTTTGCAGTAATTAGGTTTCCTTGAAATTTTTTTCTCTGTGTAAAGATGGAATACAAACTGTGAAAAACAGAACACTGTAATAAGGCTAATTCTCTGTTCCAGCTTGTCACAGCTGGCTTTCTGCAGAGGAAGCTGTCTAGGCTTTGCATTGGGGTTCCCTGCTACTTGTCAACATGTGTTACTAAGTTTTGTTGTCCAGGATCTTGTGCAGTCTAGTCGTGGACTAACGTCACTTACAAATGTTGTGACCAATGTCATGTACAAATAAAGGAGGGAGAGATTTTCCCCAGAGAGGATAAAGTGTGTAGTTGGCTCCCAGAGTATCTGAAGGCCAGTGCTTCAGAGGCGCGTTGCTCTTGCCGTTGGTCTACAGACAGTGGCACAAAAGACTGATGCTGTATTGCTTCCTGTTTCTTGACAGAGAGGTTTCCCTACTCAAGTAGATGTGGCCAATACTGAACGAGCACTGCAGGAGATGCGAGGGCTGATATCCAGCATGCAGCAAGAAATCACTGCAGCTGTGGAAGAAAAAAGGAGGAGGGATGAAGAGGAAGAGGGACAGAAGCAGAAAGAGTTACTGAAAAAAGAGCAGATGAAGGCTCAGACTCCTGCCCCTGCACAGCAGTCAGGTGGAAAGCAGCAGAAGGAAGGTTGGTTAGGCTTTTTTTTTTTTTTTCTTTTTTTTTCTTTTTCCTCCTTTCACACTCTTTTGCTGTTTGGCTAAATACTGCTTTGGAATCTCATTGTTGTGATGACATACCTTCTTGTAGGCTTTAATTTTAGCACAACTAGCAAAATAGGTATAGGACTGCTGGCAGCAACCTTTTGAAATGAAACTGATGCGGCATAAACTGACTGTATTAACTGGAACAAAACCTGCTCTTCCTAGACAGCATGCCATATATTGGAAGATTAGAGAATAACATTGTGCCGCCTTGTGCATGTAGATGGGTCATGCGTGATATGACAAAAGATACAAGGACAGACCACTGAAATGGTTTCCTTCTTGAGAGTAAATTAAGTCCAGATATCCTGCATATCTAAGCTACTAAGCTGAAGAAGGAGGACTCCTGTATAGCTTGCAAACTTGTAGTTCATTTATGAATGTAACTTTCTAAACTAAATCCTAGGAAAAAAGCACTCATGGAGCTGTTAGTTCCTTGCAATTTTTTAAAAAAAGTTTTCTTAAGAAAGATCTAAAACTCTAGAAAACCTTAAGTCTTCCGCTATTTTTTTTTTAATATCAGGACTTCAATTCAAGGCAGACAAAAGTACCATGCAGTGGTACCAGCAGCTTCAAGATGCTGCTGAGCAGTGCGTTGCTTCTTTCAGTGGACTCAGCAACTGCAAAGACAACAGTGAGGTATGAACGAATAATTAATACTGCTGAAGAGAGATTGTCTTAATTTCTAGGGGAAATAGGACAGCTTTCATTTAAAAGAAAAAAAAAAATTCTAACTTGGAAGCCTCTATTAACAGTCTGCTCATCCAAACTATCTTAGTAGTTTACTTGTCTGTAAATGTTTTTAAAGTTGTTTTTTTGTTTGCTTATTTGTTTGTTCTGCAGGTTAAGAAGATAAAAACAGACTTGCAGAAAGCAGCTACGATCCCTGTGAACCAGATCTCTAGAATAGCAGGTCAGGAAAACACCAAGAACCCAATCCAACTGAAATGGCCTTTGCTGTAAAGATTTTAGTAGGGCACAACATACCCAATGTTTCTATAATTACCCCTACAGCAGAAAGCTGGTACGCATACAGTCTAAGTCTTTGCAGCACAGTGTTTGCTTACATTTTGAGGTTTGTTGCTTCCCACAGAGGCATCTTGCTTCATCGTGATTCGGTTTCTTTAATGAGATGTAGCGAATGTGCCATTTGCGATGCCTTGCCCTCGGGCTGTAGGTCTAGTCTTTGTGGAGTTGGTGTGGTCTGGTTAAGCCTCACCTGCAGTTTCCTAATCTTCTGTCTTCATACATTCCATATATACAGGCTCTCAGCTGAGAGGGATATTTGACAAGATCAATAACCTGCTCTCTGGAAAGTCTGTTCAGAGTGGAGGGCGAACTGTATCAGTGACTCAGCATCCGCAGGGTCTGGATTTTGTTTTTTACAAACTTGCGGAGAAATTCGTGGTGAGGAAATGTTCTCTTTATTGGGGTGGCAAAGGTAGCTGGTGCTGTAAGAAGTTCCTCTGGACACTGTCCTCTGTCTTCAACTACTAAGAACAAAATTACTAGGTGTTTAGCTTGTATTAATGTTCGTGTTGATGAGAGAAAGTGCTTTTTGAATTAAAAAAAAAAAGTGAAAGAAATTAGTTTCTATTTCCCTCCAC